CCTTCGACTCTGGCTTCCACGGCTAAAGTGGCAATATATCGTAACATAGCAACCGATCTCGACTTTTCTCTTTTCAAGTTTTAACGAGTGACACCGTGAATACCGCCACCGCCACCGCTACCGATACCGATACCATCATGAATAAACGTCTACAAGCCCTTAATCGCTACTCCATATAGAATCCCCCCTGGAATATTCAACATTGAAGCTGGCATAAGTACGCCTAGCCCTATTTGGAGCATTTCATGGAGAGGAATCCGTGGCCGTAGTTCGAAGCACAGTTTCCGCTGTTGTACGAAATAGTCTGCGCAGCACCCTGTAAAGTTGTTAGATTATTACCTAGTATGCAATGATATAGAGGTTAATATAGGTCAGATCCAGGGTCTCTTACCTGGCACCCGGACTGGGCGTAAAAGGTGCACTGGCAGTTACTGCTATCGCAGTTGGCAATGTTGGCGCTGTTGTCACCGGTGTACGAGTAGTCGTAGCAGCTGCCGTCGGTAGAAGGGAAGATGGAGACGAGGTAAGCGGTACAGCCGCCGTCGGTGTAGTAGTTAACCTGGAACCCGCTGTCCCGCTCCGCGAGGTTTCCAGGTTGCTCAGGGGTTGCCATCGCCGCAGCATAGGCGTTGATGGCGAATGGAAGGGCGAGCAGAGAGAAACGCATGGTGATGATTTGGAAAGGTAGTAAGTATGTGTAGTATCGAGTAGAAGGCTTTTGTAGTCGAGTGGTTTGTAGTGGAATTCGAGTGTGGTGTTTGCTTTTGATTCTAAGAAGTCGGGTGGGAAGGACCCCTTTATATACTAGAATTTTCAACCTTACGGTCCTCGTGGCTTGCCAAGTGCCTGATATCATTGTGGAATAATATGAAGTAGGAATTATTGAACCTTTCCATTTACGGTTGCTTATACCACTTCGAGGCCGTAGGATCATAGAAATTGGATTATTCATAGCATCTCGAGAAGAAAACAGACTATCCAGTAGCAACCCGTGTTCCAAGAATATTCTCGACCGTAGAGTCAGGATGAGTAAGGACCCTTAGGTCAGTACATCCAATATAGATGGAAAGCGTAAATCAAGGGACAGGTTCTAGACTCTAGTTCATCTCCCCACTACAAATTTGATATCTAGCCAGACTGGGAAAACACAGTGATCCGTTTTGGTGGCCTCTTTACATTATAGTCAGCCGTTGGCCATTTGATACCTGTAGTCCTAACCCACTTGCTCGATCATAATGGTCTATAGTTCGCTATTTCACATGAAACTTCGAGTACCTTCGTGGACTACTAGAAACTCCAACGTAACGAATACAACCTTGCCTCGATCCCTCACCTAGTAATCCAAGAACTTGGTTGGCTTGATACCCTTTTAGAATCTCGATATGCTAGACATCATCACCGGGAACACTGGGCGGTCCCCGTTTTCCTGACAATTTTCAGTTGTCCACCAATCGCCAACTTTCCTAGGCAAGGTTGCGTAGTGATATGCTTAATAGGTACCATTGCATCTCAGCTCAGCCCAAGCGGAAATAAACCGGCAGGCTACAAGGGCCTTCTGGAGATATAGATCTATATTATCACTTGAGCCTCCATGCAATATTACTTATTTGCCCCTCATTGTCGTGGTGGCTTCGTCGACCCTCCTTCCATAGACCAATCATAACGAGTAGCCCGAAAATTCAAGCCAATTAGCGCATATGCTGACGATGCAACGTCGAAATCGTCAACGTCGACAGGAGCATCACATCCGGATACCTATTCTAGCCTTCCACGGCCAGCCATACTGCATCATCATTCTTCACGTTGGATATGTCCTATTCAAAGAAGTACGTATGCCCCATTGTCTCCGCAGTCGTTATGGAGTAACACTTGTATGGCTTCATTATAAATAGCAACCGTCATGAATATGATTACCTCTTATAATCCAATCCTACATGAGATTTTAGCTAACCACAATTCGTCTTTATATGTATTTAGAGAGGGGTATAATTTATATTAAGACCGTAGGTCTCATGTATATCAAGTCACAGTTCTGATAATATGTATGATTGAAGGCTGACTATTAATTAATCAAATGTTGTCCCAGTCGGCCGTTTCTATTTTCTATGCATTACATCCAGGATGTAACAGTTGCATAAGAACGTGTCCTAGTTGGGTGGTTTACTCACCGTAGTATTTCAAGCATAGGTAGGTAGGTAGGTAGGTAGCTCCTAACCATCAAGTTCGTACAAGAGCCTATAACCTCCTGTGAGATATATTATTGCGCCAACAGGATTGTAAGAAAAACTGTTCAAATGCCGCCCCCGGATAAGCCGCAGATACCTTTTGTTCGAATCAGATCCAAAAACAGGTTTAATTTTCGTATAACTAGTAATATATAAGCCACATTTAGAGAGGCATTACGTCGCCCAAAGGTATTTATTTGTCACATGGGTTTCTATAACCAATGGAAGAATCAGGTAACTGAGTGGAATTAATCTGCCCGCCAAAATTGCAACATAGTGTCACTGGCTTGTACGATCTCAGAAGCTAGAGCTCCATAGATCCTAAGGATAGCTTTAGTTTAATAACGGGATGGCAACATATGCCAACAAAAAGTTGCCTTTCACCTCATACAGCGTAGCCCATAACTTATTACTCATGCCGTTACATCGAACCCACTGCGCGTCCACACATATTAGTCAGAAGCTGACGCCAGCTGAAAAGGGGGGCAGTGCTGGCGACAGACACTCATCGCCGACAGCCGCCGTCAGCACGAGTCTCGAAAGACCAAACTCATCTATCGCGAGATACATCGCCATACCGTGTCCCGTCTTTCCGCGTCTTATAGAACACTCACTGCCGAATAACCGATAATGCTTCGTCGGCCCCCGTAAGTCTACGACGCACGGGTTTTAAGCGGTTATTTGAATCCTAGATAACACGTCTGGTTCGTCTATGTGGTGACAAGCTTCAATTGCTATTCCAATCTAATATGATACCTCGACGTTCTGTCTTGATTGCGTTGGCCGGCCCTCTGGTAACTACGGTTGCCCTAGCTGCCTCCGAGTCGGCCTTGCAAGTCGTTCAGATAAAGACTACCCCTAATGGCTTCACGAGTCCACCGAGGGGATGGAACTCTTTCGGCATACAAGCCAATCCTAACACAACGCCTGGCTTCTCATTCAACCAGACCGAAGTGATAAGCCAATGCGACGTGCTCGCGAAAAACACTGCACTAAAGGACGCTGGATATGTATATTGCAGTCTCGACTCTGGGTGGTCGGTAGGTGGGAATGGCGATGAGTTCGGACGTATCATCTACGATTCGTCTATATTTGACATCCCAAACTTAGCTAGCCACTTGCACGCCGAAGGCCTGCTCCTCGGTGTTTACGTCGTACCGGGAGCGTTCATCGCCGACGAAGCGAAAACCATCTATGGGACGAATGTCACAATTGGTTCGGTATGCTCCGGTGATAATGGGTTAGCCCGTTGCAACTTTGACTACTCCCAACCGGTCGTTCAAGAGTGGCACAATTCCGTCGTCGACCAATTCGCTTCTTGGTAAGTTTTCTATATCGACGATGAAAAAAAAAAAAAAAAACCAGCCATTTGAAGCTAATACGTTAGTTAAAGGGGTGTCGATCTCATCAAGCTTGATTTTATAACACCGGGATCACCATCAAACGGCGTAAACCTGCCCCCTGATCTAAGCGGCGAGGTTATTGCGTATCACCAAGCGATCGCACAGTCGGGGCGAGATATCCGTCTGGATATTTCGTGGAAGCTGGACCGTTCGCAGGAATACTTTGACATCTGGGAGACGAATGCCGACTCCATGCGCACCGACCAAGACATCAATAATGGCGGGGCATCGACATTCGTCTCCTGGGAAGTTGTCCAGCGAGCCATCGACAACTACCGGCAATACATAACCACCGTTATGAGCTATAACACTACTTTAAAGATATATCCAGACATGGATAACCTTTTTGTAGGCAATCCTGCCTCGGTATCAGGCGTTACGGATGATGAGCGCCAAACCATCATGACACACTGGCTTGGAGCGGGCGCGAATCTTATTACCGGCTCTGATTTGACTAACCTTGATGACTTTGGGCTCAATCTCTTAACAAATTCAGATGCTATTGCAATTGCTGACTTTACCTCCCACTACCCGATGCAACCCCGTAACCCAGGAACTGGCTCTACCAGCTCGCAGCAGTTGCAGGCGTGGGTTGCAGGGCCGGATCCGTCGGGGGTCGTCGTAGTGGTGATTGCTAACTACGGTCCGGACGAAGGTCAGGGTGGGTTTGGTACTTCATTATCAGGCGTGCAGACCGTAACGGTGTCGTGGGGTGATCTTGGGATTAGTGGAACATTTGACGTCCACGATGTATGGGCTAATAAGGATTTAGGGGCCGAGAGTTCAAGCTTAGCAGCGCAGCTTGGGGAAGGACAGAGCGTTCTATACAAACTTACCCCATCATAAAGAGGAATCTTGGGGTTTCTCGAATACATGCCTACCTGTAATTAGATTGGGCAGTTCGTAAAGACTTAGCTGCATGTATAAAAGTTGAGAGATGGAGCCACGTGACTCCGAGACTCATTCTCTAAGAGAGTTTAGTATTTATAAAAAAATAAAAATAAAAATTCTTAGCTTTTAATATAAGTCTTTTGAGAATTCGACAAAAGTGCATGTGTTGTGAGCTGCAATCATTTGATGGAAGTACATAAAGGAGGTAGGTTACCTTACATAGACATGTGATTGCAATGTGCTTAATGTCTTGAATAAGGGGACTTGAATGACCAATCAAATTTCACCAAACAGGTTTGGGGATTTGGAGGTCTCCAAGTTGATGTACATATACTCCATAAAAATACTCCATAAAAATAATATAACATGCAGTATCCCGTCCTGCCGTCTTAGAGAATGCTTCCAAGACACCAAAACTAGCCAAAAAGAATAGTCGGTCTTGGACCAAACTTCTTTAATACATGAATGAACAAAAGTTAAAGGGCCCAACCGGGATTCGAACCCGGGACCACTCACAACTTCAAATCTCTTGAGAGAGACTGGGTAGAACTACTAACTAACCCGAAGCGAGTATCTTACCACTGGACCATTGGGCCTACGTTGACTGTGATTGGACGAGGTTATAACTGTCTATATGTGAACAATACAAAGTGGGTCCTTGAGTTGGTACAATTCGTCTTTACGGCTAACCCGACATGGTAGGTTCGACCCGCTCCGGCTTGGGGTAACATCCGACCCTTCTACAGAGGGACCTTGGGCCTTGAAACAGTGGGCAGTGCAGCTCCCCGGAAGGTGGACTTCTCCAAGATTGAAGCCATACGTAATAAAAAATGTATGGTAAGTACTGTAGGTAGGTACCTGCACATGCATGTATTTTTCTCCTTGGTCTTTTTTAGTCATTTTGGTCATTCGTACCTTTGCACTTGCAATTTGCCTAACGTGACTTTTTGCTTCTGTTGCGAGTTATTAAGGTTAGTTGCAAGTTGCAAGTTGCACCACTTCTAAACCATTTCCAGACCATTTCTCACCAACTCAACATTTCTTCATGTTTCTCCTTTTAAGATTTATATTGCAACGCGCCTTGGTTGATCTTTCTACTATTTGAATTTGATTCACCCCCTGTTGCTCACAGACAACCTTAGTACAGAGTCCGTGAATAACAAATTTCCCAATCCGTAGTTAATACTACCCATATCAAGGCCCCTGGTCATATTTTTTTTTCATTTCAAACAAAGTCCGGTTGACATTCGTCGCTCGTGAATTAGGAACGACGATGCTTTTCTCCTTCGACTCGGTTTCGTTTTGCTCGACGTAAAATGTTTCTTTCGAGTTTGCTCAGTGCCTCGTCTGGCCGGAGGGGCTCCTTTAAATCAAGCAGGTCCAAACCATCCAATCGTTCTCCGGATGTCTCGCCGTCGCGCCCTCGAAGCCTAGCTTCATCCCCTGAATATTTGTTCGACGAGTCGCAACTTCAACCTGCTAGCCAACCGCCTCCAGATGTGCTCGATCTAAACCAGAACCTCGAGAGACTCGCCGACCTCTTCCCCAATATCCAAGTCGAAGTCTTCAGGGAAATGCTCGCATCCTTCTCCGAAGAGTCGCGTTTGTTCATCATTACGGATAAGCTACTGAAGAACCCTGGGGAATTTGTTAAGGGGCGGCGGAGGGCTGGCGAGCAGAATGCCTTGGGTTCGAGTACGCTAGTATCGCGAACTGAGGCATTCAGAACGGCGGAATATAAAGAGGCAGTACGCGGTCTCGCAATGCAAGAGTTTAAAGGTTTATCTAGATCTTCTATCGATGCGGTTTTATCCGAGTCAAACTATTCGTACCTCGACGCGCGACCGACTCTCGTGGACCTATCGTCTAAGTCGTGGAAGTTTACTATATCGTCTATACTGTTCCGTCGCAAACCTGTGACTTCGACCGAGGCGGAAACGCATCCCCTTATTATATGGAGATCCGCCGACGACGGGTCGATGGTTCCAACCTTGAAGACTACTGGCAGTGCTGAATTGGATAGAGAATTATTTGAAGAGCTTATACTGCCCTTAAAGGAGCGCGAACAACTGTCAAGAGAAGAAAGGGACCGTGCTATGGCTGTTGCTCTACTAACGGAAGATGCCGAAGCACACGAAGCAATTTTCGAATGCAATTGCTGTTATGCGGATGTTATTTTTGAAGAAATTACTACTTGCGCGGCTGAAGGACATATGATCTGCTTTAACTGCGTTCGACATTCCATCACCGAAGCGGTATTCGGACAGGGGTGGCAGCGTAGCATCGAGAAACAAACGGGTGCTCTTCGATGCCCTGCCGTGGCGTCCGTGGAGTGCGAAAGCTGCATATCGCCCGAGCATATCCATCGCGCTATGCAAGGGGAGAAAAATGGGGATGAGATTATACGCAAGCTGGAGCAACGACTGGCGGAGCATGGGCTTTTATCTAGCGGCTTGCCCCTAATCAGGTGTCCTTTTTGCACCTACGCCGAAGTCGACGATCTATATATGCCAACTAGCGACCGTAGACCCAGAATCCGTGTTTCCAACATTCCAAACTTTTTTGTCATCCTCATTTGTTTAATCTTATCCCCTCTTTCAGTTCCCATACTCGTGCTAGCGTTAGCCTTTGCCGTTTTGTGCTTGAATCAATCGTTTAGGGGTTATGTGTCCTGGCATTTCGGAGCAGCCATCGGGAGGCATCAGCGTCGGCGTCGTGGGTTGAAGTTCAATTGTCAGAATCCGGCCTGCGGACGTTCATCTTGCCTATCATGTTCAAAGGCTTGGGTAGATGTTCACGTTTGCCACGAGTCGTCTCTCGTCGCTCTGCGCACTCAAGTGGAGCAGGCCATGTCTATGGCGATCAAGCGTGTTTGTCCCCGATGCAGTACTTCCTTCGTCAAGACGGCAGGGTGCAACAAGTTGACCTGCCCCTGCGGTTACAAGATGTGCTACGTCTGCCGCAAAAACATTGGTACTCCTACCGAAGGTTACCAGCACTTTTGTCAGCATTTTAGGCCCGAGGGAGACGGTCGGCAATGTGGTGAATGTAACAAGTGTAACTTATGGGAAGCAGAGAATACCGAGGAAATCCTCCGAAAAGCCAAGATAGAGGCAGAACGGAAGTGGAGAGAATCCGAAAGACGCGAACTATCCGACGCGGAGAAGGCATACCTTGAAGATGGCGTAGGCAGTTTTGGTCGAGACAAAGGCTTGGGACGTATACTTCCAGGCGGCAAGGTCCCAAGCATTGAGGAGTTCTGTGATTTCATTATAGAGAACTTATTTGTATAGCGGGACGGAGTTAAGTTGGACATGGGAGTTTCGGTAAAAGCGGAGCATTATCTGGCTATCGATTGAACCTCTCCTTGAAGTCAGATTTGGTAAAGCGAACCTCGCATTGGGAACGGGCGTAAGAGAAAACATAACGGTCGTATGGTAGGGAAACGGACACGAGGTTATCTGTATGTTATACCCATTAGCAGCATCGAACATGCAACTATATGTCACGGGCTACGGCCTTTAGTAATACTACTTACTGTATGCAATGATTTAATCATATTTTTGGAGTCTCATCTATAGCGAAAGTTGGGCCAACCCGGATTTGCGTAGTGGCTTGCTTGCTTGCCAAGGGGGTGGTAAATATTTCAACCCGGGGTGGGCTATATATATCTTGATTAGGTATATTTAACTTATCCTATCAACCTATTCTAAGTTTTAGAAACCAGGGAGCGCTATGAAATGTCACCATCCCATAGAGTGAGTGGTCTGTGTTTAGACCATTTCTACAAACCCAAACCCCCAGTATGGTTCTTCAGATACTGTAGGTAGGTATTTATGAAATAGGTGAAAAGATCACGCAATGGAAAGAAAAATCCAAGTATAAAACTGTTTGTATTCCCGTATAAGTCCCTTCCATTTCAAACTGAAAATGTCCTGTTCCAAGTTTAAGCTACATCCATCCATCATCTTTTTACAACGACGCCCAATCTGACAATACAAGTCCCGATGCTAACAGGAATAAAAAAGGACTAAAAAAAAAAGATGAATGCTCCCCTGTCTCGTATCGTCTCATCTCGCCTTATCCCATTCTATCACCCTTATTTCGCTTCACTCGTTCTTCTTATACACCCACGCTCCACTCACCAAATCCCCCTCCCACAACCATAACCATCCCGTCCCCTGTCCTAGGCGGATTCACAACCTCCCTCCTCTCCCTCCGTCCACAAGTTCAGCGGCAGCACCAGAGATCGCCAGACGGCCCGTCTCCTTGACCTTAGTCTGGAAAACGACCTTGGACGGGCCCTCCTTCCACATCTCTGTGACAAGGGTCTGGCCCGGCACAACGGTACCGGCGAAGCGAACCTTGACGTTGCGGAAGGGTCCGAATTTCTCGTAGACGACTTTGGCGGCTATGCCCATCGAGCAGAGACCGTGGAGGATGGGGACCTTGAACCCGCCCATCTTGGCGAAGCCAGGGTCGATGTGTAGAGGGCTATGATGTGGTTAGTATCAATGTTACTAGGGTCAGAATAAAAGGGAAAATCTCACTTGTAGTCGCCGCTAAGTCGGTAAATAGCAGCCTGTTCCTCCGTAGTCTTGCTCTCGACAATGATATCAGGATGTCTCTTAGGCGGGGCGTTAGCAGCCGTAGCCGCACCCCGATCGGCCGGTTTCTTCTGGCCGTCAAAGCCTCCGCAGCCCCTCAAGAAAACAGTAGCCTCGTTGTAGAAGAGCTCCTCATCAGTCTCTGCATTCACAGTACTAACGCCGTACTTTAGAATAGCAGCGTTGCCCTTATCCACGACCTCGATCAGCTTGCCGAAGTTCTTGGTTCGTGCCGCTGTGGGGATCGGGTACTTCTTGATTTCGAGGTACTGCTCGCCGTGCAGCAGCATCATGGGCGAGAAGTTGGGCACTAATTCGTCCATGCTGAACGGCATGTTGGTATCGAACTGAGGGATCACGCCGTACGTCGGTAGGACCTGGAAGTTCTCAGCTCCCTCGAATACATACTGCAGCTCAGTTCTCTTGGCACCAACGCCTAGGTTGTAGAGCATGCTGTCGCGGTCTGTGTAGGTAAACTCCGTAGGCTGAGACTTGGTAGCTAAGGCTTTCCTTTGGGCTTCGAGATATTGGTTACTTTCGGTGGGAGCCTGCACAAAAAATGAAAAGTCAACATCAATAGTTCATTTGTTTTCTAAGCTAGAACATATTACAGATATATATACATGACAGTCCAAGTAGGAGAACGTTAAGAAAAGAGGGCTCATCATACCTTAGATGCCCCTCGCTTGTTCTCCATGTTGGCCATAATCTTAGCCACTGAATCTTGGGACTTCTCAGGGTGGTCTGCTCGGCCATCGTCGAAATCGACGATCTTGGCCCAGCTCTTGGCAACCTCTTCGGGAACTAGTTTAACGTCTACTGGGAAGCCAACACCTCCCGACCGTTGCCACCTTGTCCGACCACACCAACCGCTGCCAACCTCGTACAGGTAGCCTGTGGGGTTCTTGGGCACCTTGTCGCTGCAGAGGGCAAGAACAAGAGGAGCAATGTAGTCAGGCTTGAAGGCCTGGACTAGCTCCTCTGGTAAT